GGAGGGGGAGAGAGAGAGAGATTGATTAACAATAAAAAAAGTAACCAGCAATATTAAGTGCTCAATAAAACTGCTGTATTTGGCAATTATAGACATCCCTGGAAAACCGTGAGAGCAGTTTCAGTAAAATTTTGGTAACACCAATTTGCAGACATTGAAGGAGTAAATAGGTGGTAAGGAAATTCAGAGAAAAGAGTACAAACTATTCCAAAGGTTCCCAACTGGGGACTTTACAAACATATTAATGGGGATCAGATGGGTCTTATCAATATTTCAAACAGCCATATGAAGAATAAATTTACCCTCTACAAAGCTATAAAAGATTAAGAAAAATATTAAGCTTCTCTATTTCTCTAATTAGCAGCTCCATACATATATTTTTCAAATGAAATCACTGTTTAATATACGCCATGCTTGGCAGACAGGCTCCTTGGTGTCATAAAATCTTTGGTAGAAAATAAGTTACAAGATTACTAAGCAATAAAGGGTGGGGAATCATGGGCCTCTTGAAAGAAATCCAGCACTGAAGAGAATTAATGCAATATGAATGACTGCATTCCAGAAGAGCTCAGAAACTCAGAGGAAGGTTTGGTTAAGTTTCTTGTTAGTTGGTTTATTGGTTTTCGTTTGTTTTCAGAAGTAGAAAAAGACCAAGATATTAGGTCAAGATTAAGAACTGAATGTTAAGAAATGCTTAAAGTTCCAGAAAGAAAAGTAGTTAAAAGGCACTGAGGAAAAAGATGAAGCACAAGGAAAAATGACAGAGCTTACAAATGCCGCAGGGTCATGCGTAAGTTACAGTCCATGTATAGACAACTATGGATGCACTCTCATCCTCAAAGAAAGCTATTCTGCAGAAGTTCAGTTAACCAGTTGGATAATTAAGCCAACTGTAGCTAGTAGAGCTACAGCATATAGAAGTAGAGAGATTTTGAGTCTGACAAACATGAGCTCAAATTTCTTTTCCTCTACTCTCTGTTTAACCTTAAAGCTACTTAGCTTCTCTGAAGATGTTTCTTCATCTAGCAGCAACATCTATCCCATAAGCTATTAGCAATACCAAAAGACAATACATGTAAAGAGCTTTGCACAGTGCCTGGCATAAGACAACCATTTACGAAATACAGCCATAATTATTAACATAAAGTATTTTAAAACATTTTTCTGACCCTAGGATCGAGAGGACCTAAGAAGGAAACAAATGGAAAGAGAAAAGATGAATATGCTCCCGACACAATTTTTTAAACTTGTGTATGTCGAAAACACAAAACAATATTAAAAATATGTTCTAATCACACAAAAGGAAAAAAATGGTATGGAATTGATATTTTTCTCTCACAAGAAAAGGAGAAAAACTCCAATACAAAAGCATGTATTAACATACTCTTTGCTATGTATAAACTATTCCAGATCCCTGGTTTAGGAATCCATACAGACAGTAACGGAGACGAAAAGGGTATTTTTCAGTATTTCAGTATGTGCCTGGTAAAGTGAAGCATTTTAGAGATTATAAAGCTTTAAATCTGGGGCACAGCATTCCTTATGTCCTTAAAGGAAAAGAATTACTTAAAGTATAAAATAACTGTATTTGAAATATTAGATTCAGAAAACACCAATATTTCACGCATTAATGCAAATCTATTACTATTTTAATTATAAATTAAACATAACTATAACCAACCTAATGATTTTTCAAGGTACCTCAGAACTGCCACCAGGATAATGGGGGCAGTTGTGGAGAGGTCGAGTGGCTACACCTCTGCATTAGTAAGTATTTCACCACCACAACTTACAAGTTAATTCCAGTTTCACTTGTATCTGCTCTTATTTAGTTGAGGTCCAATTATTTTTCAGACCTCTTTTATAAACTGAAAAATAACTATAACAACCCATATCAAAAAATCTCTCTACTACTGATATCAAAGAAGAGCAATTTCGGTTAAAACAATTATACTGTTATTCATAATGGAGATAGCCAAAACTTTCCAATAAAATGTTAAGCATATGGTTAGATGAAACCACCGTCTTTTCTTTAGAAAATATTATCAAAATATCAGCTGGAGCAAATAACACATTTTACAATATTTGCTTTTGGAATAATTTATTTATTCCTATGCCCAAGGCAACACAGATACTACTAATGTATCAATATTAAACAGAACAAAATACTGTGGAGCCTATTCATAATATAAGGTTGGAAACAGAAATAAAACCAAGTTGTTACCTTTGTTACATCTTTTCTGTGTATGGTATGTACATGTGGGATTATAGGCTTTGCCTCGGAGTATTTTGAAATGCAAGTTTGGGAGGAAAGACATTATACCTCTGGCTAAATTGAAATCTGGTTAATAAAACTACATTATAGAACAATTACCAATTTTTCAAAATTGGAAATAAGATTGTAATCCAAATTAAAATGGCATATAAATTTTTTGTGGGTACTTCAAAATCCTTTTTAGAAGCTACTTGAGTTATAAATTTTCATTTGCATTATTCAGTATTGACAGTAAAGGCAGAGTCAAAGAAATGTATTTGTAATGACTCTATGACAACATCTATTGAAGTTAGTTTTAGAGTAACTCTTGGCAAGTTTGTTTACACATAATTTTTGTTTTCTAATAAAAATGTTAAAAAGGCAACATATGAAACTGCTTCAGATTCCAAATAAATGTGACTTTGTGTAATAAATTTTATATGACTCTTTTTTTTTTTTTTTTGAGACAGAGTCTCACTCTGTTGCCCAGGCTGGAGTGCACTTTGCTTACTGTAACCCCCGCCTCCTGGGTTCAAGCCATTCTCCTGACTCAGCCTCCCGAGAGGCTAGGATTACAGGCACCCACCACCACGCCTAATTATTATTATTATTATTATTTTTTAATTTTTTGTGGAGACGGGGTTTCATCATGTTGGCAAGGCTGGTCTTAAGCTCCTCACCTCAGATGATCCGCCTGCCTCAGCCTCCCAAAGTGTTGGGATTACAGGCATGAGCCACCACACCCAACCTTATGTGACTCTTGAATATAGTCCTACCCTGAATAAATCTTGGATATTAAAAATAATTGAACAGAAGTATTAATAAAATTGAAAAAGGAAAAAACTAAATTTAACTAAAAATAGTAAAATATTTGGCCAGGAGTGATGGCTCACACCTGTAATCCCAGCATTTTGGAAGGCTAGGGTGGGCAAACCACCTGAGCTCAGTTTGAGACCAGCCTGGCCAACATGGTGAAACCCCATCTCTATCGAAAATACAAAAAATTAGTGGTGGTGTGAGCCTGCAGTCCAGCTACTTGGGAGGCTGAGGCATGATATCTTGAACCTGGGAGGAGGAGGTTGCAGTGAGGCAAGATGGCACCACGGCACTCCAGCCTGAAGGACAGAGTAAGATTCTGTCTCAAAAAACAAAAAACAATCAAACAAAAAAAAGTAAAATATTCTACAGAGAGGAAAAGCTCAAAAAGCCACCAAGAAAAAAATTATTTAGTTGGTTAAGGGGTCACTAACCTTACTCTGATTAGAAATTTTTTAATCACCCAAGTATATCAGCTAAGTCATCCAATCCTTTCACACCCATCACCCCAAACAGACACAGAAAGCAGCCAAGATATTCACTTTCAAGAAATGTCTAATAAAAATTATTTTTACCTGTAAATTGTTTTCTGTGACTCTGTTCCACCAAACCATATTGATGGGTACTCCTGATTTACACCTGTCAGCAAGGCAGCCAATAGGGTTCTTTGCTTTTCGTGCCTTTGATCCCATCGGAACTAGCCTCTCCTCCAGCATCCCCAGGCGATACTTCCTTGGCTAGGAAAAAGAAGGAAAGAAACCAAGCCACTCCTAACATCCCCCACACTAAGCTAAACTAACATAACTAACATATAGAAGATACTGGGAATGTTGGGATAGGAAACAGGTCAAGTTTCTAAAACACCTCTTCTAATATCCTTACCACCACCCACCATCTCCCACCCCTGCACCAAACCCACACCTCCAAAATAACCCACCATCCTAAAGGGCTGAAGAATATTATATAAACAGATGTTTTTAGAAAAATACATTTTAATCTAATTTTATAAGACTTTACTTAATGAATAGAAATTTAACTTGCAGCAAAGGAAAATGCTTTGCAAAATTTTTTTTTACTGTCACTTACCTATTCTCACTGCAATATGAAGAAATGCTTTCAAGGGCACAGAATAGAGATTTTTTATTTTAAGTTCTCCAAACTACATCTTTTTCAGCTCCCCATCTTGTTACTTTATTTCTTACTGAGAACTAACTCACTTTAAGAAAAAAAAGCAGTTGATTCCTAAGAAATTTGATTTTTTAAAAAGTTTTAATTCTGTGCACATTAGACCTGATTTCAAGTCACTCTATCTTAAATAGGCATTCATCCTAAGTTATCAATTAGAAAAAAAAAAAAAAAACTCAGACTAAAAAACAACAAAAACAAAACAGGAACACAAATTTAACTGATCTTTTGAATCTCAATAATATGAACAGATTGATACTGAATAAATCATTCAATAAAATCATAAATTCTTTGCCTAACAGAAGAAAATGAATAAACCATCTGAATAGTGGTTAGCAGAACACTTATCTGTAAAAGTAAGTGATTGTTTCCACCATCTTGCTTCTCTTAATTACAGCAAATTTGTACTACACTGCATCTTAAGGAAAACTGTATTTTTTCCCTTCAGAAAACACTAATTCATGCTTGGGAAGGTATCTAATTTAAACTCTGAAATAAGAAAACATGTGTTTACTCATTGTTCTGTCATGAGTTATAAGACTGCTGAAACAAAGAGTTAAAATTAAGTTTCTTCAAAATAAGATGCTGGCCAGGCTCATGCCTACAGTCCCAGCACTTTGGAGGTCAAGGCAAGAGGATCACTTCAGCCCAGGAGTTCCAGAACAGCCTGGGCAACATAGCAAGACCCTATCTCTATTTGAAAAAAAAAAAAAAAAAGCCATAGCCAGTCAAACATATTTATTACTTTTTCTAGTATAAAGAGAACCAATTTGAAAAAGACATGATTTCTAAATTTCAAAAGCCTTGCAAATAATGCCTATGTAAATTATTCCATGCAAATTAGATTCTCTACTACACAAGTGTGCATCCGCTATACTGTCCTTGATTTAAAGAGGACAAGGCCAGGTGTGATGCCTCATGCCTGTAATGCCAGCACTTTGGGAGGCTGAGGAGGTTAGATCACTTGAGGTCAGGAGTTCGAGACCAGTCTGGCCAACATGGTGAAACCCCATCTCTACTAAAATTACAAAAATTAGCCAGGTGTGGTGGTGCATGTCTGTAGTCCCAGATACTTGGGAGGCTGAAGCAGGAAAATCACTTGAATCTGGAAGGGAAAGGTTGCAGTGAGCCAAGATCATGCCACTGTGTTCCAGCCTGAGCCACAGAGCAAGACTCTGTCTCAAATACAAAGAAAAAAACAAAAAAAAGGTGGGGTACTATGGCTCACGCCTGTAATCCCAACACTTTGGGAGGCTGAGACGTGCAGACCATGAGGTCAGGAGTTCGAGACCAGCCTGGCCAACATGATGAAACCCCATCTCTACAAAAAACTAGCTAGGTGTGGCACCTGTAGTCCCAGCTACTCAGGAGTCTGAGGCAGGAGAATCGCTTGAACCTGGGAGGCAGAGGTTGCAGTGAGCTGAGATGGTGCCAATGCATTCCAGCCTGGGCAGCAGAGCGAGGCTCTGTCTCAAAAAAAAAAAGTGGGAGGGTGGGGGTAAGGGTGGGGCTCACACCTGTAATCCCAGCACTTTGGGAGGCCAAGGTGGGCGAGAGTTTGAGACCAGCCTGGCCAACATGTGAAATCCCATCTCTACTAAAAATATAAAAATTAGCCAGGCATGGAGATGGTGCCTGTAATCCCAGCTACTCAAGAGGCCGAGGAGGGAGACTTGCTTGAACCTGGGAGGCAGAGGTTGCAGAGAACCAAGATTGCACCACTGCACTCCAGCCTGGGGGACAGAGCGAGACTCCGTCTCAAAAAAGAAAAAGAGTAACTAAACTTGCATTAAGAAAGGTCTTTTTTCTTTTTCAGACACTGCCTCATTCTGTTGCCCAGGCTGGAGTGCAATCGTGTAATTACAGCTCAGTGGCAACCTCCACTTCCCAGGGTCAAGTGACCTTCCCACCTCAGGCTCCCAAGTAGCTGGGACTATGGGCATGTACCACCATGACAGGCTAATTCTTATAATTTTAGCAGAGATGGGGTCTCATTATGTCACCCAGGCTGGTCTTGAACTCCTGGACTCAAGCCATCCACCACCTCCCAAAGTGCTGGGATTATAGGTGTAAGCCATAACGTCCAGCCCAGTGGACAAAGTTTTATGAGGCTAACATACTTACACCTTTATGAAATCTTGAACCAATCTAACTACTCTCTATGTCTGTATCAGAGGAAATTTTTTTTCTTTTTATTTCCTATGATACTTTAGAAAAGCCACAGAGGGAACTTTTGTAAGTATGTACCCTTAATGATTCATGCCATGGAACCACATTAAAAGTGAAAGAATTTTAAAACAAGTTATTTCTAGTACCTTAATTCCTTAGAAAGGGTATAAGAAATAAATTGCGTATTTTTGTGTTCAAACAGAAAACTACAAGGCTTTGACATACAATAAGAATAACATAAACTTAATAAGACATTCACTAATTTAAGATTCATATTTGGCCAGGCAACAGTGGCTCACATCTGTAATCCTAGCGCTTTGGGACCCCAAGGTGGGTGGATTGCCTGAGCTCGGATTGCCTGAGCTCAGGAGTTCAAGACCGATCTGGGCAACATGGTGAAACCCCATCTCTACTACAATATAAAAGAAATTAGCCGGGTGTGGCGGCATGCGCCTGTAGTCCCAGCTACTTGGGAGGCTGAGGCAGGAGAATTGCTTGAACCCGGGAGGCGGAGGTTGCAGTGAGCCCACTGCATTCCAGCCTGGGTGGCAGAGTGAGACCCCGTCTCTACAAAAAAAAAAAATAATAAATAATAATAATAATAATTATATATATATATATATATATATAGAGAGAGAGAGAGAGAGAGAAAATTTCTGGGCTAAATATTAACCTTACTCTACCAGGAAAGTTCAACATATAAAGAATGTTTACTTAATCAAAATCTCAAGTTGTCAAATAATTTATACCCGGACACCCAAATGCCAGGTCACATATCTGAATGCATGAAAACTATTATTTTAAAAGGTCTTCTGTAATTCAGATCCTTCACAAATTCAGATGTACTTTTTTTTTTTTTTTTTGACACAGAGTCTCTTTTTTTTTGAGATTCCATCACCCAAGCTGGAGCGCAGTGGTGCGATATTTCACTGCAACATCCGCCTCCTGAATTCAGGTGATTCTCTTGCCTCAGTCTCCCGAGTAGCTGGGATTACAGGCATGTGCCACCATGCTTAGCTATGTTTTGTATTTTTACTAGAAACGGGGTTTCACCATGTTGGCCAGGCTGGTCTCAAACTCCTGACCTCAGGTGATCCACCTACCTTGGCCTCCCAAAGTGTTGGGATTACAGGCATGAGCCACCATACCAGGTCTCAGACGTACTTTTGACACAGTTATTACAGTCAATACAATTTACTTTCTATGCAGTACAGTAAGCATTGAAAAAAAATGTTGTTTATTTGGTTTGTTTTTTTTCTTGGGTTTTTTGGTTTATTAGTCAGGAGGGTCTCAGGCTGGAGTGCAGTGGTGCAATCTCAGCTCACTGCAACCTCTGCCTCCTGGGCTCAAGGGATCCTCCCACCTCAGCCTCTCGAAGAACTGGGACTACAGGCGTGTACCACTATGCCCGGCTAATTTCTGTATTTTCTGTAGAGATGGGGGTCTCTCTATGTCGCACAAGCTAGTCTCAAACTCCTGGGCTCAAGTGATCCACCTGCCTGGCCCCAAAAAAGGTTTTAAGTACATCCAATGTATCATCCTCACTCCTTAACTGCACTCATTAAATAATGATGTTTCTTCATTTCAAAAAGGGAATTCATCACTCTTCTCCCTCCACTCCATGCCCAAACACCCTTAAATACCTAATACCTCTCCTCTTAGGTAGAAGAGATCTCCAGATATGTGCCATTATAAACCCTAAATTTTTTCAATAAACAACCAGAGATTAAACTCTAATCCAAAAGTAAATCTCTTCTGTGATACTAAATGAAAAGATCCTAAGGCAAGCCTGTCCAACCCAAGGCCCAAGATGACTCTAAATGCAGCCCAACCCGAATTTGTAAACTTTCTTAAAACACTATGAGATTCTGCAAATTTTTAAAGCTCATCGGCTATCATTAGTGTTAGTGTATATTATGTGTGACCCAAGACAATTCTTCTTCCAATGTGGCCCAGAGAAGCCAAAAGATAGGATACTCCTGCCCTAAGGTATCAATACTATTTAATGTACCATTATAAGCAACAGAATACAAAATAACACCTGAAAAGAGATGGTAGGAATGGAAAACATGATGGTGAGACAAAAGATTATATAGAAAAGTTTCACTGCATAGACTGTAAACTGTAACAATACCTCATCTATATGCTAATTTCAAAATGACTAGCTACTCTTTGAGGAAAAAATGTACTTTAAACCCAACATCTGAGAACCTACTTAGATGAGGAACCGTTCTAAGTATTTGGAATACCATGATGAATACAACACACAACATTTGCTGGAAGACAGAATATAGGCTAGGAGGTAAGAAAAATATAAATAATCATAACCCACTGTGATATAATAATGTGTAAGTAATCATGTATGAATAGAGCAAAAACAAAG